AGGTAAATTGGTGGAATAAAATGAATGAAAAATCGGGAAAAAAGAAAGAAGTATAAAGTTCGGGGATCGAAGTGCAAACATCTAATAGTATTCGGCTCATAAAACAATGATTGAAGATCATATAGATTCAATTGGATGCAATTAGAAATCAAAATAGTGAAAAATTGAAACAAAATCAATTTTCAACCAAACAAGTTATGTTCCCAATTTTCAAACACAATCTTCCTCTCAAAATTAATCGTCTTCCCCTTCGTTCTCTATAATATTTTTGGGCTTGTTTGTTCACCATTCTTGTGTCATATTCTCCGTCATCGCCACCTTTCGTGGAATCGTAGCCACTTCATAAGTTTTTTATTTTTATTTTAGTTGGTTTGTCAATTTCAAGAGGAAGATTTTAATGAAAAAGTCAAAGATTTACTTGCACCACAGGTTCTTCACCCGTTTCAATACCAGAACCAAGATCGTTGTTGAATATCCTTTGGCATGAAAGCTTTTATCTTTTCCCATTTAAAACTCCGATTTTTATGGACAAAAAAATCCCGAGTGTATTATCCCCCTACTTTTTAAGTAACCTTTTTATTTTTTTACGAGGGTGTCCCCATTTTAGAGTTTAATAGATTTCTTAATAGTTATAAATTCTCATGGATTATGTGAAATTTGATAGAATTTAATAGATTTCATAAGATTTGAATGGATTTCTATTTTGTAGATTTTCAAAGATTTTCATGAATTTTATAGATTTCAATGGATTTTATAAATTTTGGGTAAAATTTATAAATATGCTTAACATAAGCCACAAATTTTTACTTCTTCTTTAACGACTCATTCTTAAAAATATTCACGTTAATAAATCACAGAAAATGATTGAATCCTTGTTCAATTGTTTGTTAAACATTGAATATTATAATAGAGCTTAAATAAAAAATACACCCAATATTCAACAAAATGAGAGAGAACAAAAATACGTAGTGTTAAATAATCAAAGTCGCAATCAATATGAATTAGTTCAAAAGGCCACAACCTTGTGAGATACAAACACACAGATGTACACATACATGACCACAAGACAATTAATTCCACACCCCCAAAATTCTCATTGACCATGAAGACACAAAAGAAAAAATTGTAGGATATCATTCTCATATGTCTTGACTAGGATTTGCAGGTATATATAGAAAACACACAGCTCTTCCCAAGAAAAAGGAATAGGGTACAAAACTTGAAAGACGAAATTGTTCCAGTATGCATACTAGAAATCGTAAATTACCATGATAACTTCCAGCACATCTATAAAATAGTAAATAATACATAGCTTCGATAAGAAAAAAATAAGTTCAATAAAAAATCACACCCAATATTCAACAAAAAATAGTAATCTTTCATAAATTATCATCAATTGAAAAATTCTCATACACGATCTTTTCACAGTAGAAAAATGTGAGATAGAAAGAAGAAGAAAATCTTGTTGAAGAGGGGGGGGGAGAGAGAGAGAGAGAGAGGGTAGCAAATATGGAGAGAGGTGAGAAATGTTGTGAAATTTTTAGGTTTGGATTAAAATTGTCACTGATTCTTTGTACTTATATTTTTACCATGAAATCCTTCAAAATCTATCTACTTAATGAAATCTTTTAAAATCAACTAGTTATTAAGGACATCTAAATTTCAAAACTACTTATTAAAATCTATGTTGAGGACACCTAAATTTATAAATATTTTTAAAAATTTAGATTGGGAACACCTATATTTTAATGAATTATATTTAAATCTGAATTGAGGATACTTCAATTTATATGGAGTTTTAAAATCCATCAAACTCTAAATTGAGGACACCCCCCTTAACCAAATCCTTTTTTAAAATTCACTTTTATACATGTCAAAATAAGTCCTCGTTTGGTTCTATTTTTCAAGTCAAAAAATCAATTTTTTTATCGTTAATTAACATGATTAGCCGTCATTTTTTACTTTTTTACTCACAAATTAGATCCACTTTTAATTCTAAGAATCAATACCAAACAGGTCCTAAAAATTTGTTTATTTTTAAATTTGACCAATAAAAGTTTATAATTATTCTAAACTTATTTAGAGTGTCTTTGTTTGCCATTCTTCTGCATTATTATTTATACTGTACTCATTTTTAATCATACATTTTTTATTAGTTCTTTTTAATCATATATTTTAATATCAATCTCTATTTCATAATACATTATTCACGGATAATGGGGACACAAACACCCCTTATTTGCACAAAAAAGAAAAATCTTTTTTAGCATACACAAACATTCTCTTTCCCAATCCAAAACCTAAATAATCCACTTCAAAATCCCTCAGATCACATAGACTGTGACACTGCCTTCTCCTCTCGCCTCTCCCTCCACCCAGGACCATAGCAGTCTACTCCAAGAACCATAGTCCTCTTTTCGGCTCTGTTTAAGTAAATGTAAGTGGGTTTTTTCTTTTGTTTGTTTTGTTCAATTTCAATGTGTAAATAATGTTCCTTTATGGGTTTTATTGTTGAATTTTGCTTTTAGTTTACAATGTTGTCCTTTTTAATTAGATCTTTCTCTCAGTATCTACAAATTAGATCAGGTTAATGATTTTGAATGTACAAATTAAATTGGGGTTTAAGGTTTTGAAAATTCACTGCGAATAAGGATGTTAATTCTAGTATACATGAATTTTATGCTATAAAAGATTTTCGAGCACTAGATGATGTCATATTATAACATTTTTTAGTTATATATAAATTTTATTTTTACATCGACTTTTTAAAATTTCCGACTCTCAATTTAATTTCCTGCCTCATCCCTGCAGTTAGCCATGGCGAGGTTTCAAGAAGTTATATTGAAACTTGCAGAAACTCATCCAAATGCACCCTTAACGGCTGCCAGCAAGAGCATTCTTCAAGGCCGCTTGAACCAATTGCTATTCCAGTCACATACACCAGATCACCCTCCTTATGCTGCGGTAACCATTTATTTGTGTATTTTATGGTTACGTTGATATAATGTGGTATAGGATTTGTGGGCTTATGGTGAAAGAAAGTTTCTGTTTATAAAATTGGTCTACATTGTGAAATTTGCACAATCTTTGTGTAAATATATGTGGGTTTATGAGTATTGTTTTATATTTCATGCATGTCCGGTTCTGCATGTTCGAAATCTTGAGTTGGATTTCATAGGTCTTCAGAATAAATGGCATTTAATTTAATTTATTACATTGTAAAATTGGTGCGCTGTACATATAAAATTAGGATCATTACATGTTTATCCATGTCCATTTGTTGATCTTTGTATTATGTTTTAAAAGGATGCTAGTGTGTCAAGACTAACTAACTTGGTAGAATTTTCCAGTTTGGATGCTGATGTATTTTAACTTGTTGTCAAGAACCTCAAGATTCTATCTTGGCGATTTTGTGACTGAAAAATGTGGGGTTTTTGGTTAAAAGATTTTACTCTTACTATTGGATTGGAGAGACAAATTGACTGGGTTATGTTCAGTTGAAGATGTAGAAGATTTCTGGTAGCTTCGTTGTCACACCACATTTACATGTATGTGCACATGAGTGGATTTATTTTTTATTTTATGTTTGCTTTGATTTATAATGTGTAAGATTGATGGATCAATGTATGTTTGAAATTTTGTTAATAGGATTTATGGGTGTACAGTGAAAGGTTTTATGTTGATAAAATAGTCTGCAAAGTAAATTTTGCAAAATCTATTAGTTCATCTGTGTTTGAGTGTCTGTTTTATTTCATGCATGTCCAATTGTGCATGCTTGAAATCTTAAGTTGGATTCAATGAATCTTGGCAAAATGGTATTAAATTATTATGTTGTAGAATAACTGTTTTGTACATATAATATTAGGATCTTTATACATTTATTCATGTCCATATGCTGATCTATGTACTCTATACTTCCGTCATCTTGATGGTGTGCTAGTGTGTCAAGATTAACTTGGTGGGATTTTTTGCTTTGGGCGTTGATATATTATAATTTGTTGTCAAGAACCTCAGAATTCTATCTTGATGATCTTGTTACTGAAAATTGTACGGTTTTGATAGAGATATGAAAAAGAATGTGTAGCAGAGTATTGGAAGTTGATTATCATGCGCAATTTCTCTTTAACAAATTTGCCTAGGTTCCTTAGCTGTTGTCTGCATTACAAGAGAATGATGCCTTATTTCACAGATTCAATGTATTATATTGCATTCGATTCGAATGTACATAATTGTCAATTGTCGTCTGTCATCTGAAGAGTTAATTGCAGGTTCTGTGATTATTTTTTGATTGGGTTAAGGTATGATGATCATCCTGGGTCCAGTTCACCACCACCCTCGGTCTTCAATGTATTTTATTACATCATCGTGCATAAATTATCTGCTCATGTCTATCCGTTAAATTTCCCTAATTTCTATCAATTCCAGATGTGGGTGTGTTTTGTTGACTTTAGGTTTTTAACTCGGATCTTTCTTCTTTTTCAGATGATAGAACGGGCACTTCAGGAGTTGAATGAGGAATTGGGTTCTAGCGAGGACTCCATATTAAAATTTATCAAAAAAGAATATAATAATTTGCCATGGGCGCATTCCACATTACTAAAACATCATCTTGGAAAACTTTGTGAATATGGAGATATTGTGACTCATGGTCAGAGATACATGCTTCCTGGGGTAATTCCAAGACTGAATTCAAGCACAGGACATAAGAGGAAGAAAAGAATGAAGAAATGGAGACTAAACTGGGACTGGCAGAGGGAACGATACAAGCCACGTAAGAAACACGAGTCTAAGCATAAAAATCAGCAAAATGGGGATCAATGTGAAATATCTGAAGACCACAAATATTTAGAGGCGACAAAACCACAGCAGCAAGAAGGGGACAAAGCGGATGGCAACTGCCCCGAACTTTCAAGTCAGAGGCCTCCTGACGAGTCAATAAGAATTGAGAACTCGTTACATTTAGGGATCTGCTCTAGGGATGAATTTGGAGCCCAAGAATGCCCCATTGTAATGAAAAATTTGCACTTACTAGCCCTTAGAAAGCTTGATTCTGCTGAAGTGACATTGAAACTGACTAATAAGGAGCAGCTGATGGAGCATCCAGTTACTCAAGAGCCTTTGATATTTGGACCACTGAAAGACAAGTCAGCTGGGCCTACAGGGCTAGAACTCGTGAGTACCAATGAGTTTTGTCAATCATTGCGTAACCAAAGTCCACCGGAACCTAAAGCAGCAGCAACTAATTATGCGTGATATGGAATTGTTGGATTCCTCCAAGTCGGGTGATCAGCATTTGCCAAAGCTAAAGCTTTCAAATCTGGAATGTCTTCGGGATCAACACAAGACACCCAAGAACTCAACTGTAGTCAGAGATCAGCAAGCAAAGCTCCGTGGTAATAGAAAGCAACATGAACGTGAACAAGTAAATCTCTCAAAATCAGATGGAAAGGAAGTAGTAGATTCATTTGTTAATGAAAACTACCGTCTGGGAGCAAAGAAACGTGGTAGGAGAAGAGGGAAGACAATGTCCTAGCAAGAAGAAATTGTTGGAAAAATTTCACCGGATTGGAGAAGAAACTGAGAAATGGAAAATTCAAGAATATGAAAATAATGGGTAAAAACCTAAATAAATATGAAGGTTTAAACACGACATTATATCGTTGTCCTCAAACGATATTTGCCCCCTCTCGAGTAACAATTTCGATGCTTAAAGGGTCTTGCGGCAAAATGTTTGTAGGATTAATCAAATTTTGATGTAGAGAAATACAAAAGCACAAACATTTCTTCACCCGAACTTGAAAAGCACAAGGGAAATTTAATATGGAAGAAGGAGCATTTATCCTTCTATTGTGGAATTAACGGCATGATCATAATATAATTAAGTATTTTTTCGATTTTTTTTTTTAATTCTTATGATCAAAAACCACCTATATATAGTCATGGAATGAGGCCATATGAAGTGGTGCCAAAACAAATCAAAAGCCACCAAAAAACCAACCGAAATATCGTCAAAAAAATGATCTAATGGTCGAATTTAACCACCATGCGGCGCATGGTTCATGCCAGCAAAGGGCCTGTAGTTTCGGTAATAGAATGGCCCATGCAGTCGCATGGGCTTAATTGGCTGCCACCGGTCTACGTTTTTGTTCTAACCTCGTCCATTCCATTCCACGCATGTTTATTGTTTTGAACAACAAATTTTCATCAATCTTCCACTTGTTCAAAATTCAATAAACTCTCATATTCAAAATATACAATACTCATGTTTCAAGATTAAATATCTTTTGATTTTAATCTAACCATAGTGTAATCCAAACAAAGTAAAGTCAGAATCAAATGTAGTGTGAAGTTTTGAACCAGTTATTTCATGTAACAATACCGATAAGGACACACATATGAGCATTACGTGTTTTCAAGTTCCTCAATCTCGCTTAGCGCTCATATGGTCTTGTGCTTATCATTTTCAACAAATTTTAAAGAGAGAAACTTCAACTCTCTATTGAGACGGCACCACCTCGAAGTTCGTCTAGATGAAGTTCTTTTAGTACCTTTGTTACTTTTATAGATACTTGTGTTTTAGCACTGAACTTCATTAAAAGTTTAAAGCTCAACCCTCATTTCAGTAACAACCAACATTATTTTCATTAGGATAGGATTATTGCGGATTTTAATAATGCTACTACTATCCACAAATTGAATGACTTATTGTTACCCTTTGAACTCGTAGATTACCTTTTGAGTAATGACAGGTAGGATTGATGTCATTGGTAAATCTTTTTAGTTAAGGAGTTTCAACCCTCATCCTACTCGAAGTAGATGCCACTAAAATTTTATTTAGTGGTCTAGTTAAAGGATCCACTAAATTCTCTTCGAGAATTATTCCCACTTTGATAATTTCCTTGTAAGTCACCTCTAAGACTTACATGTCTTTACTTCTCATTTCATGTGACGCAGTATCTTATCAAAATATAGCTAGCCAATGATCGATTTATTTGATAAATACAACTCGTCACCTCCAAAAAGCCACATGCTTCTTACTCGCTTCATTGAAAGCCTTATTAATTTTCAAAACACTGTTGGATGATTTCCATCAAATCATTACATTAGTCGATCACTTTTATTGTGGATTTCATACTTGGGTATTTGGTATTCTCTTCATTGAACTATTAGAATGATCTTCAATGAATATTCTTTAAATATTCCATTGATTTTGCAAGCGCCATAATCGGCTTTTACCCATTTCATCCACTTAAGATTTAGTGTATTTCATCCTTATAATTATATATAAGGGTTTTCTACATTTTCTCCTTCATAGATATATTTCTACGATTAAAAGGCTTAGGGAACTTTTAACTTTTATGTTAAATTACCCCCACAATTCTTCAATTAGGAATTTATACGCAATCTTGTAATGTTGCATTCACATGTTTTTGAACTTGTCTTATAAATCCACAAGCATTTAATGTTAACCCCCACGTTTTGGGTAATTTTCGAACTTGGCATTAATATGTTAACCCCCACATTTGGAATTATAATTAAACTTAGAGTTTATTAACGCTTTCATTCACTTATCACTTTGATAATACTCGTGAAATTTAGATACTTTTAGATAGTGGTCGTTAAGTCATTATGTACTTCAATCCAACTATCTTTAGTTTTGATCACACAATTTGATCAAGGTCATCTCATATATCATTAATATTTTTTCAAGCATAAACCAACTCAATTGGTTTCACAATTGAAGTCAAATTCATCAATGAATAATACTAAACATCTTGATTCACAAGATTTACTATCTTTCCAAACATAAGCGACTTATCGCTTTTTGATATAAGATAATATTGTATCATATCAAACTATGATTTACATGTTCACCTTATTTATATTTGGACAAAATCACGTTTTGTCACAATCATATGCAAACTCAAATTTTTCCCTATAAGATGTTTTCATGTCTTAATAATTTCGCAAGCACTTTCTACTAGAACAAGTTACAAATTTGTCGTGCTTTATTTTCTCAATAAATATGGAAAAAGCACCAAAAGAACCAATCCAAAATTAACCAATTAGACCGTTACTTGATTCTCTCTTTCCCATATTTTCCACTCCCTTTAACAAATTTAATGTGAGTAAACACATGCAATCATTTATGTACAGTCAAGTTCTCATCATTTCATTCATTATTTCTAACAACTTTTCATGTCAAAATCATCATTTAATAAAACTGTTTTAAATAAATAATTTATTGATCAACACCCTTTAATGGATTTCAATGGAAATGATACAATTCTTTAATGTCATTTATTCCCAAAGGAATCGACAACCAGCAGGGATCAGAATAGATTATTAAAGTTATCAACAGGAACATATTTTATGCCAAGCAAAGAATTTACCAGATTTTCATCATGCAGGCAACGAACATAAGTGAAAGGATGTGCACTTTTATTGAAACTTATAATTGCATTTAACTGTCAATTAACTAAAAGCAGTTACTGATACATGAAAGAATGCATATTTCCTTCAACAAAACATATGCATTACTAACCTTTAAATGCAAACGTATTTACAGGCATGTATTTAATTAAAAGACAATTAATGTTTGAACATTTATTCAAACTATAAACACACAAATAGATTCTCATCTTTAACAAACTCATGCACTTTTCAAATTCATATTCAACAAAGATGTAAACACAACGATTGGCCTATCAAACATGCTCATGCCCGTTCACAAATGAGTACAGTTAACTATCAAACAATTCATGCATCAAGCAATGTTCATTTAGTGAGTTTTGTCCTTTTCCAGTAACACGTGTCAAGGTCAGATTGAGCAAAATTCTGGTCCGATTTATCCATGTAAATTATGCACACCAAAAAGGTTCAATGTTCATGGTCTTTGACATACATAGGCAGGCATTTTTGGCTATTCAAACATAGAATCATCATCTATCATTTATTAAATTAAATGAAATAAATAGCACTTATCTGGAGTTTCTCAATTTGCGGTAAATTGGATTCAATCAGTTCTTTCCAAACGTTCCAGATTTCCTTTTCTAATGAAGTGTTGATTTCAGTAGCGGTATTAAATCCGTATTTAGAATTCATACTTGCCTTCATGTGATGTTTCGTCCCATTGAACGTTTCAACCAAAATCTGGATCTCATCAACTTGATCTCGCCAAAATGATTTTTGTTCTCCATCGCCAATATCGTTTGAGATTGTTAGAAAAATTTCACCGGATTGAAGAAGAAACCGAAAAATGAAAATTCAAGAAGATGAAAATAATGAGAAAAGACCTAAATAAATGTGAAGGCTCAAACACGACATTATATCGTTGTCCTCAAACGATATTTGCCCCCTCTCGGTAACAATTTCGGTGCTTAAAGGGTCTCGCGACAAAAGGTTTGTAGGATTAATCAAGCCTTGATGTAGAAAAGCACAAAAGCACAAGCATTTCTCCACCCGAACTTGAAGAGCACAAGGGGAATTGAATATGGAAGAAGAAACATTTATCCTTCTATTGTAGAATTAACGACATGATCATAATATAATCAAGTATTTTTTCCTTTTTTTTTTAAATTCTTATGATCAAAAACCACATATATATAGTCATGGAACAAGGCCATACGAAGTGGTGAAAAAACAAATGAAAAGCCACAAAAAAACCAACCGAAAAATCGTCGAAAAAATGATCTAACGGTTGAATTTAACTGCCATGCGACCACATGGTGCTAAACCATGCGGTCACATGGTTCATGCCAGCAAAGGGCCTGCAGTTTCGGTAATAGGCCATGCGACCGCATGGCCAAATGACCCATACGGTTGCATGGGCTTAATTGGTTGCCATCAGTCTACATTTTGGTTCCAATCTCGTCCATTTGACTCCACGGATATTTATTGTTTTGAACAACAAATTTCCATCAAAAATTATTGTACAAGTTATGGAATTGGCATTATGAATATGCAACTAGAAGTACTAATGCTAGGCTTAAAAATAAAAGTAGATTGTGATTCATTTTGATTAATTTCTTGTATTTTTTTCCCCATAATTAGTGGTATTATTTTAGAAAATTCGAAACAGAGGCTAGCAAAATATCTGATGTCACAAGTTGACATGGAGTAATAAATTATTTTAATT